ATTGTCTTTATTTTATATGCATAAGAGTTTCTTGTGTGTATATCTATGCCAGAAGGGGGCCCTTGATCCTCTGGAACTGGAAGTACAGGTGGTTGTGAGCCACCATGTGGGTGATGGAAATCGAACTCAGGTCTTCTGGACGAACAGCCAATGCTCATTAACCACTGAGCCATCTCTCTGGTTTCTTGAGAACTAGCGTTTGATTAGAAGCAGCTGTCCACTTTCAGGAAACTGGTGGCTGCTATTTTTCACCCCCTGAGCTCTCCCTCAAATAGGCGGTCTTATCCCTGCAGAGAACACTTTCCCTAAGAAGTAAGGCCCTCTTAATTCAAGATCACGATTCTGTAAACACTGGCCTGGATGTGGTGTCACATGCTTTTGATTCTGCCACTCAGGAAGCAAAGACAGGTGGATCTTTGTGAGTTCAAGGCCAGCATAGTCTACAAATCGAGTTCTAGAACAGCCAGAGTTACATAGTCTTAAAAACAACAACAAAGCCAGGCTGTGGTGGTGCACACCTTTGATTCTAGCACTTGGGAGGCAGATGCAGGCAGATCTCTGTGAGTTTGAGGCCATCCTGGTCTACAAGGCAGTTCCAGGACAGCCAGAACTGTTACACAGAGAAACCCTGTCTCGAAAAACCAATCCCCCAAAATAACACTCCCCTCAAAAAAACCCAAGGGGGGTCAAACAACAAAACCCTATAAACAGCTGCTGACCCCTAAGGCCTCAAGATGTTGCTGTTGTTAATTAGATCATCTGAGGGCTAGTCCTGGCTTTGAAGTTAATGTGCTGTAAGAAGGAATGAGTTCTTAACAATTCTCTAGGCTTCTGCTTTCCCTTCTGTCAAATGAGAATGATAGTACCACTACCAAATGTAACAGGAATAATAAAAACCCAGAGACAGATATTGGGGTTCCAGCTGAAAGATCATAGAAGCAAAGCAGCTAAGCCGTAGCTCTTACTTGTGTCCAGGCTGAAGCAATCCTGCTCTCAATGTGGCTGGAGACCAAAATACCTCAGAATATCTGCTCCTATTTTATATACCTCAAGTGCTGGGATTAAAGGTGTGTGATCCCAAGTGCTGAGATCACCTTTGTGTGAGTGCTTTCTGTTTTAGGTGGATCAATTTTGTGCAGCTCAGTGTGCCGTTGAACTAACAGATTTCTCTGCCTCTGTCTCCTGAGTCCTGGGATTAAAGGTGTGTGCCACCACTGCCTGGCTCCTTGGCTTGCTAGTATGGCTGCTGGGGTTAAAGGTGTGTATCCCACTGCCTGACCTCTATGGCTTGTGGCTGGCTTTGCATTCTGAACCCTCAGGCAAGCTTTAATAAATCATAAATACTATATCACCACACCCAAACTCTACCATTCCTATAATCAAAGCAGGGACACAAGTATACCTTTAAAGTTCTTCAAACATAAGGTCTTTCAACAATATTGCAGTTTATTCACCTATCATCTAGGTAAATGATTTCTTTCACTCACCACTCAATAGATGTTAGTTGTTTGCCCACTGACCTTCATGTATCCTATGAGCCCCTATAAACTGCCTCCTCTCCTATGGAAATTCAGAGGTAGCTTTTATTTAGCAGCCTACCCGGTGCAAGTAGCATCACATACTTCATCTCATTATGTCCTTACAACAACACT